ACAACACTCAAAAGAACAGCAACAGAACTCTTTGCAAGATTTTTTTCATTACAGAAGGACAAATAGATACAAACTTGTATATATAACTTACTATTAGATTTACGCCAGTGGTGAACGTCTCTAAATAAAAGAAGAAAAAGAAATTAAGAAGTAACTGACGTCATCCATATTTCGTCATAACAAGGTCCGCAAACATGCTCTCCTTTTGTTATATGGTAAAAATTCTTTCCGCATGCATCTGTCATCGTCTTCAAGCAGCTGAAATAAGATTTTAACCATAGCAATAACAATAAAAAGAAACAAAGACTCATTGAAACTGTGAGTCAAGTAATGCATGAACTATGACACAAACCTTGAAATGAGATTTAAAGAGCATGTCTTTTGCAGAGCACATTCACTTCGATCGCAAGAGCCTTCACGTGAATCTGGACCGTTTTTCTTCTCCTGAATTATAGGAAGAGGTTGAGAAAAGAAAATGCATCTCAAGATGAGCAAAGTCGAGAAATTCAAGATGTGAAGAATATTTATTGCTTTTTTATGCTTTCAAATAGTTTTACATATTCTGATTAAAAAAGAAAGAATGCGGATTAGCAAGCGAAGGTTCAAACCTTTAGTACAAAAACAAATACTATTTTCACTTACTATTGATGAACACTATTCATATGTATATGTAATTTCGCAATTTGAAGTCTTTTCCAAAATACCTACTCTATTAGGATCCCAATGGCCGGCAGGCTGCATTTCCAGTTTGATTTTTTTGATGGCTAGCTCCGCACATTGACGCTTTTGCCTCATACGTGGTGAAGGAGGAGCAGAATCGCTTTCATTTTCATAGTCGTCAAATGGCTCAGGCTAAATATAATTTATCCTCGATTTACAAAATATTTATCTTTATGAATTCCTACCTTGATGTAATTATCTGAACGCAATGCTTCTGATTTTCTATGTGAAAGACTATTTCCACTGGTGTCCAAAAGCGATCCCTCTTCGTCCTCCTTCGTTGTAGCCATCCTAAGAGCGTTGTTTGAGGAAGCGCAATGAAGAAGGGAATGCTTACGACTGCGTTAACAACGTGAACTTGATGTATGGAATATTTTGAGGATGTTTAACGCAAAATAGAGGCTTGCCTCTACCTTGCGAAAAATTAGCTGAGACAAAAAAATATGCCTCTGCAGTTCGTTTCAAGTCCGTTAATTTCCTTCATCGTTATTGCTTCCACCAGTGGAAGTGGTTTATTGTCGCGTTGCTGGCACTTTATCCGCTCTATTCAGGCTTATTAGCTTGCAAAAGGTCTATCATTTACAGGGTTTCTCATTTACATAACAATTAACATATGACTGATGTAGATAATATGTGAAAAGTAAGATTACTTTTCAT